CCAGTGTGGATATGGTTACCCATGGAGCACTCAGGCAGAGAATGGAAATTCTGGAAGTTAACCCTTTTGGAGGTTATCAGACCCTCTTGTGAATTTGTGACTTTATCTTTAACCTCAGAGCATTGGGACATAGGTGAAGGAAGATGCACTTGAGTGAATTTTTAAAAATGGTTTTTCAAGGGAGAGACAGCATAGTCCAGCAGGAAGAAAAAAGCAAAAGAAGCCTGAGTTTTCACATGGTTCTGACATGACTAGCTGTGTTGTGTAGTTCAAATTGTTTCTGAGCTTCAAATTTCTACTTGTGTATAAAGGTGCTTTTATTTTTTCAACTTTATTTTTATTGTTGACAATATTACAGATGTCCCCATTTTCGTCCCCTTTGCCCAACTGCCCCCCACCCTTGTCCCCTCTTCCCTCTAACCATCAGCACACTGTTGTCTGCATCTATGGGTCATACATATATGTTCTTTGGTCAATCTCTTCCACTTCTTTCATCCAGTTCTCCCCCCACCAAACCCTCCTTTCTGATAGCTGTTCCATGTATCCATGCCTCTGTGATACCTATTCCACAGTGTTTGCTATGAAGATGAGACAATGTAAGTCAAATGCCAGTCACGTACTAATATGGCTATTTTTATAGAAGAGTGGATTAGATGCTTTTCAACAACAGCAAAAAAAAAAAAAAAAAAACACAAACGAAAACCCATTATCTGTCCTAATTAGGCTGTGAGTTCTGCAAAAGCACTGGAGGGTGGGGTTGAATTGACCCCTAGGTTTTATAGCAAGTGTACTGGACCTGAGGCTTAGACAAACAAATCAACTAGGTTGATTTAGTCCTATGTAACTTGACAGAGTGTTATAGGAAGGGCATTTTAGGTCATGTAAAATACCAGGGGTAAATGAAGGCCATATTCAGAAAATAGCAAATTTTCCAGTTGCACTGAAATAAGGTAGAGGAAAGAACAAGAGTGACATGAGGCTGGGAAGAAGAGGACAGGCATAAGCAATGGTCACCAAGGGAAAATTTAAATAACCCCTAAAATATGTCTGGTATTTCACTATTCATAAGAACTTCTAAAGAATGTCTGTATATACAATTTAATTTGGTCTTTGATAACCTCCATACATATGGTCATTTAACAAGTATTTAATAAGTTCCCACTATGTACTGCCAGATACTTTCCAGGTGTTGAAATATATCAGTGAATAAAACAGTGGCAAACTCTTGCCTATGTAGAATTTACAGCCTATCCCATAACTCAGGTTCTATAATACTATAATTCTAATTATACAGAAAAAGTTGAACAGATTTGGAAAATTTTTGCTCTTGGTTTTATAACAAATAAGTAGATAGAACAATGTTCAAATTTGTATGTCTAAGCCTCAGGTCTAGTACACTTGCTATAAAACCATACCGTTCATATAATCACATTTGGAAAATTATTATATAAGGAGAGTTAAGGACAGAAAGTAGTCCATTATGATTCTGAATGTTTGTGAGTTTAAAGCCATTCAATGAGATATTTAACATTTTATTTATTTTATATAGGGTTTACCACGAGCCAAGTAAGCATTGTTCTATTTTACAAATAGTGGCTTAATTAACCTAATCCTCACAAAAATACTAAGAAAAGATATTTTTGTATCCTTATTTACAGATGAGAAAATTGAAGCACAGATTAACTTGTTAAATTTAGCACAAATCAAATATTTTGCCTAAAATCAAAAAACTGTTAGGTGGTAGATATCAGCTCAGGCAATCTAGCCCCAAAATCTGTATTCTTAACTCTTTCACTATCAGTGGAAGGAGGTGAACATCCGCATTTAGAAAATATGGGTTGCAGTTTCTCCAAAGCAGCATAGCATAAAGCTAAGAATACCAGATCAATTTCAGGGACCTTGGTTGTTTTCTTCTTTTAATTTTTTAGAGTATATTTTATTGATTATGCTATTACAGTTGTCCCATTTTTCTCCCCTTTATCTCCCTCCACCATGCACCCTGCAATCAGCATTCCTGCCCCCCCCCTTAGTTCATGGCCATGGGTTGTATATATAAGTTCTTTGGCTTCTCCACTTTCTATACTATTCTTAAACTCCCCATCTATTTTGTGCCTACTAATTATGCTTCTTATTCCCTGTACTTTTCCCCCCATTCTCCCACTGCCCCTTCCCCATTGATAACCCTCCATGTGATCTCTATTTCTGTGATTCTCTTCCTGTTCTAGTTGTTTGCTTTGCTTTTAGATTCAGTTGTTGATAGTTGTGTTTGTTGTCATTTTACTGTTCATAGTTTCGTTCTTTTTCTTTTTTTAATATGTATTTTATTGATTATGTTATTACAGTTGTCCCATTTTTTTCTCCCCTTGATTCCCCTCTGCCCTGCACTCCCCTCTCCCCAGCATTCTCCCGCCCCCCCCACTTAGTTCATGTCCATGTGTCGCACATATAAGTTCCTTGGCTTCTCCATTTCCTATACTGTTCTTAACCTTCCCCTGCTTATTTTGTACCTACCACTTATGCTGCTTATTCCCTGTACCTTTGCCCCCATTCTCCACCTACCCCTTCCCTGCTGATAATCCTCTATGTGATCTCCATTTCTGTGATTCTGTTCCTGTTCCAGTTGTTTGCTTAGTTTGTTTTGTTTTTTCTTAGGTTCAGTTGTTGATAGTTGTGAGTTTGTTGCCATTTTACTGTTCATAGTTTTTGATCTTCTTCTTTTTCTTAGATAAGTCCCTTTAACATTTCATATAATAAGGGCTTGGGGATGATGAACTTCTTTAACTTGACCTTATCTGGGAAGCACTTTATCTGCCCTTCCATTCTAAATGATAGCTTTGCTGGATAGAGTCATCTTGGGTGGAGGTCCTTGCCTTTCATGACTTTGAGTGGTTCTTGCCAGCTCCTTCTTGTCTGCAAGGTTTCTTTTGAGAAATCACCTGATAGTCTTATGGGAACTCCTTTGCAGGTAACTGTCTCCTTTTCTCTTGCTGCTTTTAAGATTCTCTCCTTATTTTTAGTCCTGGGTAATGTAATTATGATGTGGCTTGGTGTGTGCTTCCTTGGGCCCAAATTCTTTGGGACTCTCTGACCTTCCTGGACTTCCTGGAAGTCTATTTCCTTGGCCAGATTGGGCAAGTTCTCCTTCATTATTTTTTCAAATAAGTTTTTAATTTCTTGCTCTTCCTCTTCTCCTTCTGGCACCTCTGATTCAGATGTTGGAACATTTAAAGTTGTCCCAAAGGTTCCTAAGCCTCTCCTCATTTTTTTGAATTCTTGTCTCTTACATTCCGTTCCAGCTGAATGTTTATTTCTTCCTTCTGTTCCAAATAGCTGATTTGAGTCCCTGTTTCCTTCCCTTTACTATTGGTTCCCTGTGTATTTTTCTTTATTTCACTTTGCATAGCCTTCACTTTTTGCTCTATTTTGCAACTATACTCAACCATTTCTGTGAGCATCTTGATTACCAGTGAACTCTGCATCTGATAGGTTGGCTATCTCTTTGTTGCTTAGTTATATTTTTTTGGGTTTTGATCTGTTCTTTCATTTGGGCCATATTTCTTTGTCTCAGAGCACCTGTTACATTGTAAGGAGCAGAGCCTTAGGTATTCACCAGGGCAAGGCAACTCACGTTGCTGCATTTTGGCACTGTCTGGATGAATGTTTCTTCTTTAACTCCTTGGTTGTTGGACTTCCCTGCAGTTCAATTTTCTGGCAGTTCTGGTTTTTTTTTTTAATTTGTTGTCCTTGTTTTGGTTGTGTAAGGAGGCAAAGTGTATCTGCCTATGCCTCCATCTTGGCCAGAAGTATCCTTCTCTGCTTTCTTGTCTGTGCTCTCTTACCAAGGTTTCAAATAGGCTTGAACTTGCAGGTAACAAAGAAATAGTTCTTTAACGTGCCAGATGGAAGGACTCTGTGTTTTAAACAGGCCTCCAAAATATCAAGTACCCCTCTTGTATCCTCAACTACCAAAAGAGCCCATGAGGTCTGTGTCTACGTTTCCTTGCCTAGTGGACAGGTTCAAGCCTGGTCTCAGCTCTTTATTTTCCTCTTGCAAATTTTCTTGGCATTTAGAAGATTTTTGACACCTATGGGCCAAGAGATGGTAACCACTATTCTGACTTTGAGGCTTCCTCTGGGACAGCATTTTCATTTCTAAAACACAAGCTTTCAGGCTCCACAAAGGATAGGCAGACCCATTCTATACCTACTCTTCTCCCCACCACTGAGTGACTTTTGTTCCAATAACAGTCTCTACCTTCCAGAGGTCAGAGGAGCCATCAAAATAATCAAATTCACTCTTACAGTATTCTAACAAGTACTTTAATGTACAGGAATTTCTGCTTAAAATATGGAGAACACACTCACATTCTCTTCAGTGTGATTGTGCCAGGAATTTTGCGGACTGGCTTCCTGAGGAACAGAGCTCTGAGTTCAGAAGTTAAAGTTGCTCATGGCAACCACCATCCACCTACTTTTCCAAAACAGTTCCTTTCCAAGAAGAATCAAAATACAATTTGGATCTTCAAATCTCACCCCACCCATTTCCTCATTGTGCCCATGTTCTTATTCCTTAGTTTAAATGTAGATTATCCTCACAGCTCACTTAGCCTTGATTCAGAGTGAATGTGCCTAGGTCCTGGAAAGCAATAAAAACTTATTCAATGTGTTTTATTCTTGGTATGTACTTTGTGACAAGGATCAGTTTTTAGAAATTTCCACATCTTCCAAGTGTCAGTCAGTGAGTGAGATAATCTAGCCATTGAAATTTGTGATATATAATACTAGGGGACTAGCCAAAGGTTCTCAAGTAGAGCAATGAAAGTTAAAGGAAAAGAGAATGTATAGCATTTCTATGTAAATAAATAAGTGAAAAAATACCCAGACAAGTTTGATTCCATCCTCTTCTGCCTACCACCCATGCCCCTTTTACAGTGGGGTCAGCTGCTGGTCCATGGCCTGCGGAGAAAGCATTCCAGATGTGCAGTTCCAAGATCCAGCTCTTAGTTCTTGAGGGACAGAAGCTTAAAGCTGTCATCCAGGATCGACCTCCTGTTGCGCCGTAGCTTTTTTTGACGATGTTGGTACCAGACCACACCACCAAGAGCCAGAGCAATGAGCAAGAGAATGACAACTATGGCAATTAAGACAGAAGTCAGCATCTCGATATCCTTTACAGAGATCTGCATGCCCAGCATCTTCACATCACCTTCTGTAAAGTCTCTGGAGATTGCTGGTGAAATGGAACAAGAGGGAAATGGTCACCCTGTGCTGGATCATACTCCAAAAAGACACTTGTAATCTACTCCTGAAAGAGGAGAAACAATTCTATCCAAATACAACAGAGGAACTGTCCCTATCCTTCAAAATGCCAGCTGATAAAAACAGATTCAGAGGTCATAGTGACTTGGAATAACAAGATGTCACAGCTGAGGAAATCCTTATTAATCATGGAGGCCATAATCCCTCTTTGAAAAGAGCTAAGACTCAGAGAAGAAATAGAGACTATAGAAGAATAGAGACCATAATGTAAAAACAACAACAACAACAAAACACCCTGGATTTGGTTTGCATGGTTCCAGAGGATAGAATCAAGAACAAAAAGCAGAAACTCTAGGGAAGAAGCTTGACCCAATGACCTAGCTTATCAATGTTCACTTTGACCATTGGACCATGACAACAGCCTGCCGCTGTGCTGTATGGTCTCTCGCCTCTTTGAGTGATGATAACTCTGATGTCACATTGATCTTTCAGGTTAAATAGTTAATTGTCTGAGTTCCTGGCATGCAAACTTTTAATGATCTCCAATTAACCTAGGGAATGAAGCTCAGACTCAAGCCAGGCATTTCAGCTCTCACAATCAGGTGTTAGCAACTCATTCTTTGTTCTCTAGAATAGGTGATCGTCTTTCAGACCTCCAAGACTTTCTCATGCTGCTCCTTTTACCTGAAAACCCTTTCTTCCTCCTCACTTTCTATACCCAGGTTAAATGTTACACGTATCTGTAAAGCTTTCATCAATTCAGCTTGCAGTTAATGCCCTTCTTCTGTGTTCTCAAAGTATCTGTACTGTTTGTATTCCCACAACTTACTTGCTTGGGCCACATTACCTAATCCTTCCTCATTTCTGCACTTCAGTCATCTCTTTTTTAAAAGGTAGATAATAACCATTCTAAACTCAGAGGTTTATTGTGAGGTTTAAGTGAGTTAGTGTTTATAAATATTTAGCATAGCACCTAGAAGACAGCAAATGCACAGTAACTGATCACAGTTATTACTACTTGCCTTTTTAAAAAACACATAACATCTAACACTGCACTTAACTGTTTCTCTGTCTAATTCCATTTTTAGGCACAAGTCTCTTGGAAAGTAGTATCTATGTCTTACTTCTTTGGTGTCCTTGACACTCAGAAAATGTTCAATGAATGTTTAACTGGATGAACATATGTCCTTACAAGAGTGAGAAAAGATGAAATATATACATATGTATGTATGATGCTCCACTCTCTCAGTCTCACCTTACTTCTTCACAACCCCTTCAGGATATGTCCTAATTCCCTGATTGTCATTTTATAAGATACATAGGCAGATCATTAGGAATTTTCCAAACACAGCTGAAAAGCCTCCAGACTAAACTAATAATCTCTAATATTCCTTCTAGCTCTCATCATTTTTTTAATCTTTCTGAGTCTTAGTTCAGGTACAAATGGGGTCAAGAGTGAAAGTGCTATTTGGACCTAGACTGCATAGAACAAGAATATTTATTTTCTTGAAGGGAAGAAATGACTGGCCCTACAGTGTCAACTATTTGATATTCCATAGATGCAAGAATAAAAATACCTGGTACAGACTCCATGGTATTTGTTGTAGTTTCATACTGTTCCTACAGGAATTTATGTCTGTGCTACAACTTCTTCATGCCCAACCCAGCAAGACCTTGTATTTTCTTGCCACTCACACATTAGGTGAGAGGCTAATATATCAGCCTTCAACTCAGGAAGCTGAGGGTGGGACCAGAGCAAATAAACCTAATGAGGGAAGCTGAACCTGGGATTCTCCCAAAGTCTTGCAGAAATCACACAATGCTCTCTGCTAGTATTTTGGTCCATCTTTCAGCCGTGTGAATCCCATATTTTATAGACACCACACCTTCCCACAAATGCACACTGTGTATGACTACCTAGTCTGTGCATCACTTATCCTACCTTTTCCAATCTCGTTGGTGATGGTGGTGATAATGCTTAAGTGTTCTAAAGAGAAAAAAAAGACAAGAGGTTAGTCCTGTTTTCTTACTATCAACCCACAGGCTCACTATGGGAGGTTGGCACTGGTTGGAGGAATCCCTGTGCCATAGTAATAAAAAATGATGATACCTGGAATTAACTAACTTATAGTCAAAATCAATATTGGTATGGAAATTTGATTTTGAGTAGTGACACAAAATTTGAGTGAGAGCATAGGTTTAGGAGTCCAAAAGGTAAGTCATCCTTCTGCATTACTTATGTATTTATTGGCACTTCCTCTATCCCCATTACTACTCTTTGCCACCCTTTCCACCCTCCCTTCAGGAAGTCCCTACATATTCAAACTACATCCATATATACTCAACCTCTTCTCAGAATACTTCTTTCTCTTCTTGCTTTAATGAGGCAGAATACTTCTCTAAGGACTATTGTTCCTTTACATACATTCAGTAGTGCTTTGAGATTATTGTTCCTCTCCTTTTTTAAAGATCTATCTGTTTTGAGGTTCATTCTATTTAGATAGAAAAACCACAACTGCTTCTTGTCACTGTTACCTAGCAGTTCTTTCCATTCATGGAAGTCTTTGGTACCTGGCTCAGTCTTCCTCTTCCTCAGTTCTCACCATGGGTATTGACCAATCATCCAACACTCAGGCCTCACTGTTCTTTGACCTCTTAATTCCAACAAGTTTTTCACATCTACTCCAATTCTATTAACTACTCCCATGGTCACATCGAACTTTTTATGCAGAACTGCTCCATCTCAGAAATTTAAAATTTAACAACATTCCACTTTGCTTTTTGTACCCTAATGCTATTTATTCCATTTCACTTGTTATTTCCTACCAATGAAGACTTCTAGCTCCTGGACTCTTCTGGTTTTTATACAGAGCCTCCCAGCTTTCTGCTGTCTTTTCTTCTATTCTTGGCCAGGCTATACTCCATGTCCTGTCACCTCAACTACAAACTTACCAGGAGTGTTATAATTATCTACAAAAACTCCAGTAATTATAATTTTCTGTATTTTATCTGGTATGCTAAATGCTGGTGGAGAAAAATCACACAAATATAAAGATCAGTATTCTTTGTGTCCAACGTTAAGCCCTCACTACTGCCTGACAATAATTAATTAATTTCTCATTAATCAGAGTAAACTTTTCTTTCCCATTTCCCAGAATGGTTATTTCAAACATTTGGCCATTCTCTTCAAGTCCCTTAACAAAGCACCTATCCTTTACTCTCAGCAGATGACTCTTTCTCTTCTATCATAGATGGAAAAGAGACCATATGAGAAAAATATTCTACCTTTCTGTAAAGCACCTCACCCAAACCTACCCATTGATGTTTTTATTTTCTATAGAAACAGAAATAGAAAATTTTCTATTTGTCTCCCTTCTTTTAGGTGAAACAATGACCTTACTCCACTCTAATCTTTCAGTTTAGCTCTGTTTTTTATCTCATGCTTCCTTACCAGGAACCTTCTTCCAACAATATATTATTTCTTTCCTGTCTTCAACACATAGGTGGTTGGAGCAATATTGAATTTGGCCATAGTGGGTTATTAAAAAATGGCAAATAGGTAAGATTTATGGGCTGGCTAATTTTCATAAAGAGATATGAACTATTCTTGTTCATGGAAGTTCCCTGATCATGTGAATTGAGATAGTCTCTTATCTATTAGATGGCATTTGAGATGACCCATTATTATACATGGAGACCTGTTATCTTAGATCTATGGCATCTTGATTACATATCAATTCATCACTTGACTTTGGTTCTAAGGACTGACAGAATGCAACAAAAAATTGTGTGCTCACCTTGATGGTGGAAAATAGTACTAGAGTAGTACGTAGAAGCCACATTTTAGCCATATGGGTTACCAGAGAACAAAACTTTTCAAACATACAGGAAATCATAATGTACACCCCAGAGGATAAATAGCAGAGTTGTAATCCCTACCCTGGTTTGCTAAGTCTGTTTGAATGCCTGAAGACTCTCTTCCCCTTTCTATTCCTGTTGACAAGAGTGCCGCCATGGCTGGCAACCCCAGAATATCTACCTGAATACCAACATTTTTCAAAACCATATGACACTTTAAAAAAAGTGCAGGATAAAAACTCCTTGGATTCCTGTGGGCTCCAAGAGATTTTATATGGCCTCTTGGAAGGGAGATAATGCTGAGAGCTGGACCGAGGTCAAAAGGCTAAAAAAGTTAGAGACTTAGCCCTGATTGGTGGGGTTCAATGGGTTGGGCACCCTCCCACAAACCAAAAGGTCACTAGTTCCATTCCCAGTTGGGACACATGCCTGGATTTGAGGCCAGGTCCCCAGTTGGCAGTGTGACAGAGGCAACCAATTGGTGTTCACATTGATGTTTTTCTCCCTCTGTTTCTCCCTCCCTTCCCCTCTTTCTAAAAATAAATAAAATCTTAAAATAAAAAATAGGTGAGAGCCTTAACCCTTTAATGAACCAAAGGCATAAAATCCAACACATCCCACCTTTCTACGTTCTTAGTTACTAACAAAAGTTTATTGGTAAAGAAACTACCCCAGCTATTCTCTTTCCATATTAAAAAAATGATAAGAAAAACACTCTTGGTAGCAACTCTGTCTGTGATAAGCTGTAATCAAAGGCCAATATTTCTTTCCAGCCTTAGTCAGAGTTGTTCCAGGTCAGATAGAATTGCCTTTCACAATCCCCACAAAGAAAATCAATTAAGGGGTGATTATTAGAATTATATTTCTTTTTATTTTTATAAACTGGATTCATTTGCAAAATTCCTTGAAATAGACAGTGACTCTAATTCTAAATAATAAATTTATATACAAAATAAATATATGTCAAAGGAATAAAATCTGTACTAGGCATCACTGCCCAGAACCCAGTTTCAGACTGTTTTAATTGATTTGGCCTCAACAGGTGTCAAATAAATTAGAAGGAGGCAATAGCAAGATGGCAATAGAGAATAAGAAATAGTAAATGGAAGAACACCTAGGGGATATGCTCTGCCTTAAGTTCTGGTTCCTCTAGGATCAGAAGCACAGGTGAAACTTTTTAGAATTATCTGGTTTCAGTAGGGTAGACAAGTGTTAGAAGATGGTACAGCTTGAGTAGTTAGCCCTTACCTCTTTGAGACAAGACAGTAAAGAGGGTCTCCATGCCAGCATGGACATGGTCAGCAACATGGCAGTGCAACAACCATGTCCCAGGGTTGCTGGCCACCATCTCCACAACCTCAAAGGTCCCTGGAAACAGATCCACCACATCTGCCCGGTAGCTCTCTCCATTCTGCAAGAGAGATTTGGGGTAAAAAGGAAATGAATGGTATAGAGATCACATAACAGTTTTTAAAAACCAAAAGGCTTGGAAGTCCACATCAAGGACATGGGACTCCAATTCATAGACTAGAGAGCAGCTTAAAAATTCCACCATATCCATCTTTCCAATGAACCTACCCACACAAACTAAATCAATAGAGGGTACCCTCTCTCTCCTCCTGCTTATTCTTAAAGTATCCCAAAACAAAAGACAGCACAGCTACTTCTAGGAGACTAAAAACTAGTGTCTCCATACTTTTCAGCAGGCTGAGATCTGGGGAATTTGGCTTAAGCCTTGACCTCTGGGAAAGAGTCACACATTATCTTTAGCAATGAAACTCAAATTATTTTATCCTTCATATCATCACCTTTGTAAGTACTTCTAGATCTTTATGTCTATATATCAATGCCTCCAACTCTGCCTCTTTTTCTAAAACTAAATCTTCTTCAAAACCTACGTGTTTTTCCATGTAGCTCCTGAATTAAAAATTCTTATAATGGATTAAGTACTTTCAGACTGAGACAATACTCTGAAATTCGTAGATCTTGGGATAACTGCTCATTGTGTATCAAGTCCTTACTGAGACCTAATTACATTGATTTTTTTCAATCTCCTTACCCCCATTAATAAGCCACTTGTTTCTTCTATATCAGAGTGGAAAGCTAAGACCTAGAGAGAAGTGACACTGGGATATACAGTCAAAGTAGAATTTCCAGCTCAGTGTTCCATGTACAAGACCTCTCCTCTTTAAACTGATTATTATCTTATTCTTTGCTATTCCCTTCTTCCTCAGTGGCTGTTAAAGCACTCCTCTAATTATCCCCGAGGGACTCAGCCCTCTTTCCAGCTCACCCGATAGAGGAAGCTCTCTGCATGGAAGTGGACAGTGTGCAGGTCAATATCTTGGCCCATGGCTAGCATGTACCAGGCCACTCGTTCTCCTTGGTACATAGTAAGACCTTTGAGGTTGGCATAGAGCTTTCCATTAATGGCTGTAAGAGAATATAAAGTCTTATATCTCACATTTGACTTCCCATTGGCACTGTCCTAGGGTTAGGACACTGTCATAGCCCCTATCATCTCTGTTTTTAAACATCTCTGATAATAGCAATAGCTTCTTAAATGTTCTCATCTCTGTACTATTTATTATCTTCCAGTCTGTCTTCCACATTGATATAATAAGAGTGGTCTTCTAAATAACTCATATGACCATGCCATTCTGTTGCTTAAAATACTTGAATACCTCCCTCCTACCCAAAAGATCAAGCCTATGGCACCTTAGCTCAGAAAACATGATCTTTCAAAAGATAGCCCAAAACATTTTCCCAGACTTATCTCCCATTATTCAACACATTTATTCCAATTAGAGTAATTTGTTCACCATCCTCCACATGGCTCAATATGCATGTTCTTTATATCTTTTTTCATGTTTCTGATCTTCCTTCCCCAAAACTCTGCCTCTTTTTATCCATCTGTTCAAAGCCCAGTCAAACCTTCTCTTCCTCCAAGAACACATCTTTGATTAGCTCCTCTCAGTACTTCCAATTTCCTGCACCTCTTCCTACCCTGAACTTCCCCAGCACCATCTGTTTCACTTTTTAGAACTCAAGAGAAATTGCCTCTACATTTAATTATCTTTTAATTTGTGAAAGCCCATATCCCCAGCTAGAGTCTAGGTTCCTAGTAAGCAGGAAATGATTGTACTGTAGTACTTTCATTCCCTTTTATTCCTCAGAACACCCAGCTGACACCTAAGCTTATAATAAATATTTTAAAAGACATCACATTTTTGGAATTAATAATGATATTAATGCATGGGCCTCATCAACTGCTTCTTCCTAGGCTAGATCCTATATTCTAAAAACAATAAACTACACATTGCCATGTTAATTAACACTGCCAGGACTATGCCCAGGACATATTCTTCTACTTCTCATTTTCTCAGAGAGGGAAGGTAATTTCCACTATACACCTCAAGAGGAAAAGTAATGAAAGGGGTATTTATAGCCATCTCTGTTTTTCCCCCACCAAACTATGAATTTGAGAAAAGGAACTAAATATGCTCAATTTAGCCTTTTCTGAATCTTCCCTCTCTTGAATCTGTCTGACTTTAGAAAGGGGTGCAAATAGATTTACTATTTCATTGTGGGAAAGATTTTGCCCCTGAAAAGGAGGATGGCTAATGTTGGCCATCTATGTCAATGACAGGGTAGAAACCCTATTCATTATAGGAGGAGCAATCCCATTTGATTAAAACACTAAATTCAGTTTTACAATTAGTTTTCTCAGTAAGCCCATGTTTGATCTCAAGCAAGTCTTTCTCTTTCTCAGTTGGTTCATGAATCAATCTGAAAGGGATGGGAAAGATACTGTCTATTTGCCCTCAGACCCCAACATTAATTAATTTTGATCTTCAAGGTCAGCACTCAGAAAGTGCTCAGCCAATACCTGATAGACCGATAGATAGAGCAATTGATGTATGAAGACTTTGGATGAGTGAACATATAAACAAGCAGAGGGAAATGGGTATTAGCCCAACCCCTGCACTAGCATAATATAACTGTGCTTACTCTCTTTTTGTCCTGGACAATTTATTTCTCTGATATGATGGAACATAAAGTTCACTTTGTGTTTGTGAAACATTGGTTCCAATGTGAATTGTTTATATATCCATCAAGGAGAAATAGCTAGAATCCGTGTGACAATAAAATACTACTTTTGAATTTCATTAGAGTCCTTATCAATGCGCTTCCTTCTGCTTAGATCAAAGAAATATTGTGCTAGAAGGGATAGTGAGAAATCAACTCATCCATTTCACTGCACTTAAGTTCTTCCTTTTGTTTGAAATTTTCTTGTGTTTTTGAAGAGATACACATATCTCTATTACAAAGGAAGGCTTGCATGCACAATTTCTTTCCAAAATCCACTCAAGTACCAAAAAAATTTTCCCTGTATGTAATATAAAGCAAGTATGTTTCTCTTTGAGACTCTCCTCCAATTCTTCTATCTGCAAATTGAACTTTGTTTTAAAAAATAGACTAAAAGACAAGCTGTCCATTTGTCTATATTGGAAAAGCAGATATCAGATTCAGAGTGGTTAATAAATAAGATGATATTGAGAGACTAAATTCAGGATTTTGAAGCAGAGGAATCCTCAGCATCCAGCTGACCAAATACATTGAAGGTCATAAATGCACATCTTACCTTTTGTAATATGTGCAAATGTGCTGATGTCACCACAGAAACTTTAGAGTCAGCTTCCTGCTTTCTGGGCACCTGACCTACTATAGACCACATATCTATTTTGTATATATAAATGTAAAATAATTGGAGACATTTCTTCCAATTTTTCATTCCACCTTCCTACTTTCACATCTTTTCAGGGATAATGCTCCCTTAAGTAATGGGTCTATCAGATACCCCTATACAATTAGTGGGGGCTTCTATGGAAGAGAGTTAGGTTATTTTCTACAGACCATGCATTTTATTACTCTCCAAAAAAGTTTCATCCTGAAGGTTAATACGGCCTGTCTCCTGGGGCCCGTGGGTTGCCACATTCTCATCCAGATACCAAGACTGGTTCTCATCAAAGATCAAGAATAACAAGGCAAATTCTCGATCCATGTCATTCCGTCCTCCATGGGGCTCCAGGATGCCCTTTCTGCAGATGACCAAGGGCCCCACCAAGCCACTATACATGTCCTGAAAATGGGAGGAAGGGGGAGACAGTGAAGGATATGAGGTTGTTTCTGGGTGGCAGTGCTACACAGGAAGCCAAACTGACATACAAGCCCTCTCTGCCCTCCGAACTTTATCATAGTGTTTTATATTTATAAGCATCTTAACTATGCTATCTGAATTTATCTTCACAACTATCTTGGGATACAGGGAAGATGTGCTATATAACCTATGTTTTACCTAGGCTAGACTATTCATTGATCTCCAAACCCACCAAGAACTTTCAAAACCCAATGCTTTTTCTCATGCTGTTTCTTCTTCCAGTAAAGTCCTCTCCTCTGCCATATCTCTTATCTTATGGCATATTACTACTCATCTTCCAAGACTCAAAGTACATACAACTTTCAGTAATTATGAGGCCTTATTCAGCTTCCCTCCCATTCATCCCCTCTTTCAAGCTGAAGAAATCACCATCTTGTGGACCCACATAAAACTATTATATGGTTTTTAAAGAAATGCTAATATATATAGCTAGCATTATAGTTCATATTCATCTGTCTCCCCACCTAGATCATACTCTTTGAATATGGGGACTCTATCTTACATTTGTATCATCTGAATACCAAGTAAAATGTCAAAAATGCAGTAGGCTCTCAATAAATGATTGCTCAGATCTGGCTGTGGATGGGTGGCTAGACAGATAAACCATTTTCCAGATAAGGACACAGAAACAGAATGACTTATTTAAAGTCACTCCAAAGGCAAGAGAAAACCAAATTTGAGACTATAACCCAAATCTCTTGACAAGATATCTTAGGTTTTTAAAACGAGAGCTTTTAGGATCCAAGAGGAAGAAACAAGGAAGAAAATGCTCAGGGCAAACATGTAGTGCTATGTATTCCCTTAATTCCTCTTCTTGTCTCTTAAAATAAGCCACACATTTAAGGAGCTTTCCCCTAAACCTTGGGCTTTAGTCCTTCAGGGTGGGCTTCTTACTATATCTACTTAATAGCTTCTTTTTGCCAGTCAGCTTACTCATTTGTGAAACTCACCTTCAGGCAACCAATATTGCATTTACCTTGATGGGATCTACTGCAGAATAATAAATCCAGGAAACACAAGCAGAATCATTGGGTCCAGGGCCAGATCTTTCTGGGATGTTCCATTTGTAAGTAAGAACTTCACCTAGGAAGAGTAATATGGATCTCTAGTTGGACAAGGTAAGAAATTCCTTCCAACTCCCTAATCTTCCCAAGAGCTATGGTGGGTAAGTCCCGGGACCTTTAAGATTATTCTCCATCACTTCCATAACAGTTTTAATTTTATTTTGTGAGACTTTGCTCTTCTGCTTCCTGGAACAACCTCAGCCTCTCTTCTACTAACCTTGTCATTCAAGGCCAAGGTCCAATCATCTGGTAAGTCAGCTCTGTTACTATTCTCTCTGCTTATAGTGTCCTCACTTCTTTGGCCTTGTTTTGTTCCAGCTGCTGCCTTCTATATGGGGCTGTCTCCCCAAATCTCTGCCTCTAGTCCTTGTCTACTCTTTTTCCATAGTCTCTCCATAGAAATTCTCATCTGCCTTTCTGATGTCAATTACTATATATGTATTGTTGATTCTTAATACCTAGCCAGATTTCCCTATTTCCCTTGTCATTTAGCTTCAACTTGACATTTCAATTAGATACTTGAGCATTTTTTGAAGATTGTCCTGACAGCACATCAAAAAGTAAAATTGTTATGAACTCACCTCCTTCCTTTGAAAAAAGAATGCTGTTACTCATTTTGTGCTCCCAGTATCTAGTAAAGATATCAAAACCATCCTAGCTATCCCATCTCAAAAGTTTAGTCTTCTACAAAGAAGACTACCTACCTTCATGCACAAATCAGGCAACCAAATAGTAAGTCCTACTGACTGTACCTCTACAATATAATTTACAGCCATACTCTTCTCTTTCTAATTCCCAATATTCCTGCCCTAATGTACACTCTTGTTTTTCTCAACATTAGAAAAACCTTTCAACATGTTTCTCTGCCTCCAAGTCTTGTCCTCTCCAATCCATCTTTTGAATGACACCATATTATTTTTTGTAACAGATTTATTAAGATACAATTTGTGTACCTTTAAATTCAACCATTTAAAGTACACAATTCAATGGTCTTTAATATATTCACAGAATTTTGTAACCACCACCACAATCACTTTTAGAAAAATTACGGTCACCAAAACAAAAAGCAATCCCTACACCCCTTAGCCATCATTCCCTAATCCACCTATTCATCAAAGCCATGAGTACCCACTAATCTACTTTATGTTTCTATAGATTTTCCCATTCTGAGCTTTGGTACAAATGGAATACTTTAGGAGTGACATCAGCAAAAATGGGAGACTAGTAGGTCCCAATGTTCATTTTCCCCATAACAACAACAAAACAAGAAATAAACTATATACCCACAAAAATAGCTACAATAGTGCTCTGGAATACAATAAAAAAATTGTAGCAACCCAGTGGAGAAGACAAGTGAAAATGGACATATAGCAAAGTGTAGGAAGTATCTTCTATGTAACTCTAGTCTGGCATCTCTAGGCACCAAGAGGGAACCCACATTGTGGTAAAGGAAAGCAGGAAGACTCTAGTAACACTTATAACCAGGAAGTCTTTCTTGATGCTGAGCCCAGCTGACTGAGCTGCCAGAATTCCATGCTCCTTTGCCACCTCTATAAGAAGGAGCCACCATCATTCTGCCTCAACCCAAGAAAAAGTTATAGTTGCTCTACTTTCCCCAGAAGGAGCTTCCATCACCTTGCCCACACAAAAAGGATTCTCTACTGCCTTTCTCCCCCACAATGAGCTATGGCTGTGTGGCCTACCCAAAGAGCCAGTACCAATCTTCCTTTCTACTCAAGGAGCCACAGGTGCTCTACCTTTGGATCCACAAGGAGCCACTGCTGCTGTGTTCCTCCAGAGGAAGAATTGTCACTGCTCCAGATCCCTAGAGGAAACCACCACTACTGTATCCTTCTGAGAAGTAGCTAATGCCATTTTTTGCCTTCCCTACCCAAAAGGAATTGCTGCCCTTCCGCACCCTCCACATGAAAAAGAGGCATCAATGCCAACTTTCCAAAGAGATGGAGCCACTGATAATCTTCCATTCCCCAGAAGTAGCTACTCTTGTTCCATATACCCCAAAGGAGCTGTTTCCACTCTCAAACCAAATAGCCACTGACACTCTGTTCCCCTAAAAAGCTGCCAGTGCTCTAACCCCCCAAGATGGAACCACTGATGTCCCCTCCATCCACAAGGGGCCAAAACACTTGTGTTCTCCCAGAAAAGGAGCTACTGTTTCACTAACTTCACCCCCCCACACACATACACACACAAGAAGCTGGTGCTGCTTAGCCCCCAACAAAAGAAGCCAGCTTTACTCTAGATCCCCAATTCAGAAGGAGCCACTCTTGCTCCACTCCTACTAGAATTAGCTGCAACTTGGCCCCTCTTTCCTTGTTCCTCCCTCAAAACATCAGCACCACTGTAACAGTGTGTGGGCCCACATCACAGAATTCTGTAGCACTGTTATTTTATGTACATCTCAGAGACAACAGCCAAAGCTACTGTATGCGTACTTACATGTTAAACATGGTATCAAGAGGAATGCCCTCAGCCATGACCTACTCAAGAAGAAAAACATGAACAGGAGGATCAAAGTAGTCTTCACTATTGAGGACCCCAATAGCCTTTGTTCCCACTGTAGACACCTTCAGAATTGGACACTGAGGACTACTGAAGTATTCACTGAAACTAACCTCAGCAGATGGAGCTGCATAGAAACTATACCATTGTGCCCTCCCCAGAGCCAGAACCAATGCTGAACACTCACAATGGCAAAGCTTCTATGAATCCACCCAGCTGGAACCCTTGTACCCAATCATAGGTGAAGGTCTTTTCCCATGTAAGTCAGTCCATACACTGTGGAAAAAGTAACTGATTCCTCAAAAGTGGATATATCAATGCAAGACTACAAGAAACATTAATAGTTAAGAAAATATGACACCACCAAAGGAACACAGCAATGTTTCAATACAAACCCCAAAGCAACAGAAATCTACAAATTGCCTGACACAGAATTTGAAATGGTTGTTTTAAAGAAGTTCAGTGAGCTACAAGAGAAAACAGACAACTCAATGGAATTAGGAAAACAATACATGATCAAACAAAAAGTTTAACAAAGAGATAGAAGTAATAAAAATAGGAATAGAAAAAATAGAAATTCTGGAGCTAAAATATATATATAATGGGTGAAGAGATCCAAGATTGTGGTGGAGCAAGTGGAAGCTACACTCACCTCCTCCCAGGACCAAACTGGAATTACAACTAAATTATAGGACAATCAACATGAATAACCAACTGAAGACTAGCTGAACAGAAGTCTTATAAATAAGCATTTACAGAAGAGGTGACCATGAGACTGGTAGGAAGGGCAGACATGCAAAAAAGTCTGACCATTTACCCATGTGCACCAGTTGAGAATCAGGAGGAATATTTCAGCTGCAAAGGTATCCTAAGGAGTGAGGAGTCAACCCTATCCCAGGCTCCACATCCCAAAGTACTAGTGCTGGGAAGAGGAGCCCAAATAACATCTGACTGAAAATCAGACATGATTCCATCTACCAGTGGGAGAAAGGAGTCTGCTAGGAAACCAGGCAATCTCACAAAGGTCCAACACACAAAATCTCACTTGTGGGCACTCACCCTGGACTTAAGCAGAGGGATAGCAGCTCAGAATGGATTGAAGTTATACAGGAAGAGTTTGGGTTGTGTGGCTTTGGGAAGAGGACTATAGGGACAGTTGCCATTGTTCCTGTGCTGACCTCCCCCACACCTCACACAGACAACCTCATTCCTGGGTTGAGCACTCTCCTCCATGCCAAGTCAGTCTAGAGGAATGCACTAGCCCCACCCTCCCACTTCCTATGGCTCTGCCTTACCAAGCTTATGTCATACAGAGGGTTCTGCTGGCTATGACCAGCCTAAGCCCATGGCACAGACTTTTTTGGAAGTCTTTTGAGGGATCCATTTTCCCCCCACATGCCCGCAACCAATGTCATTACTCCTGTGCAGAACCCTCCATCCACAGGGTCAAATCTTAATCTGTTTTAGCCTGATGAAACTATTGGCCTTCTCCTGATGACTCCCTGAGACCTTGCCACAAAACAAAGGTCCACAGGCCCCAAGTAAATGGTGGCTGGCCTCAGTATACCCTGACTTTTGCTGAACGGCCACAGTCCCAGCACCAGTGCCAAGTTTGAATCTGTATTAACCTACTAAATATCACTTGCCACTACCTAGTAACACTGAGAACCTATTTCATGCATCTTACATACCACCAGAGGCTTTTTTGTGTGTGTGACTGAGCCTAAGAGGTAGCTAGCAGGGAGAGATAAATCTCAGAGTACCTTTGGCCTTTTGCTGATCTCCTCTAAGCTTGGAGCTAGTGAAAGCTGGCTTTGGTATACAATTCAGCCTTTCCCACAACTCAGGCCCAGCAGAAAAGTCCACAAACTGTGGATCTCTTCATAGCTCTCTTAACAGGACCCATCACAGGAGTAGCCTGAAACTGACCTGCACTGAAGTCCCTTCCAAAAGGCCCCAGAATCAACATACCCCATGGAAGACTTCAGACCACATTAGAGAACAACTCAATCAGCTACACAAGTGGCACACTTAAAGGAAGATCTTGACAGTGAACAGAAACTGCTGAGGTGAGTTCCACTTCCTGGGATCAGCCCCTGCAGAGTAACTTATACACTGTGGTCAGGGTCAGTCCTCATAGTCCACCAGCCTGAGGCTTAACCCCATCCACAAATGGGCCAAGAGCTATCAAGACTCAGCTGTAACAAGAGGGCTCACACAAGGGACATTCCTGAAGCAAATAACTCAGATAATAATGGAGACTTTGTCATCAAGCTGGCAGAACACCTACTGTATTGGGCCACCCTACCAGACTAGGAAATAGTTAATATACCCATTATACAGAAACAAATGCACAGAGGCTCCCAAAAAGGGGTGACAAAAAACATGCCCCAAATGTAAGAAGAGAAATCCCCAGAAAAAGAACTAAATTAAATGGAGGCAAGCAATCTACAAGATACAGAGTTTAAAACAATGGCTATAGGGATGCTTCAAACA